AGGAATACAGCATGATCTGGTGTCGTAAAATAGTGATAGAAACACACCGATATCATATAAAATATGTTGTAGTAATATCGGATTAATAGTGCTTTTCTAATAGTTCTATGGCTATATGACACATTTCTCTCGTATTCAAGTTTTTATCATGGGCAAATAGAGAGACTGCGACTAATGAGATTAAAAGTTTATAATATCTGTTTTTATTAACTTAATTTCTGATACAATTTCAATAAAGGATTAGAATATTAAACTGATTGTTTGGAAACCAGATGAATGATTAGAAAATTGTTCGTTTACTGGCTACTTAAGATGCAAAATAAGAGTTTATTTGCCAAATAAACGAATTATTAATAAATAAATTTATTATTAAATTTAATTATTTTGCTAATTACTTAACTATGCCAATTGTTTATATGTTATATTACATTTATGACTGAAAAATTATAAGCAATTGGTGACATATATATAGTATTATAGCATACAAAACTATTAATTTTTTCTTATTATATATATATTTTTTTAACATTATAGAAGGATATTCATCAAGAAGCAGCAAAGATCCAGTTATTTTACCAACAGCTCCTCGAGCTGCACGAGGACCTGGAATTGATGAAGAAAATATCCCTACAAGTCCTCCATATGTAGCCTACATAAGCAATCTGCCCTATGATGTAGATGAAGCTGATTTAGCTGACTTTTTTGCAGATATGAAGGTCGATTTCTGCAAATATTTTTATTGATATAAGATTTTGTTTACACAGATCTTAATTGTTTTGATTATCAAATATGAAAATATAATTCTATTTTTATATAAGTTAGTCACAATTTATGTATTTTTTTGTACAGATATCCAACATGCGTTTGCCGAAAGATGCAAATAAAATTAGGGGCTATGGATATGTTGAATTTGAAGATCGTCAAAGTCTAATTGATGCTCTTTCTATGACGAACACAGTAAGCAGATGTGATATTTAATGATACATATTAGTAGCAACATCAAAATTTGAGCTATTGAAATTATGCCAAAAACATCCTTTATAGACTATAAAGACGAGACGAGTAAGAATCGAAGTTTCAAACAGCAGTAATGATGATCGTCGAGGCAGTAGAATGGGCAGAGACAATCGTAGGGATAATTACGATGATCCAGAGCGTACATCTGGCGATTGGAGAAGTGGGCCGCGTGAAGATTTACAGGATGAAGATTCTTATCGCAGTCGATATGATAAAGATCGATATGACAATAGAGACCGGCGAGATGATAGAGACAGTATGTGTGTGTGTGTATATATATATATATGTGTGTGTGTCTAAAGAATATGTGTGTGTGTGTGTGTGTGTGTGCGCGTGCGTGCGTGTGCGTGTGTGTGTGTGTGTGTATTCTAAATTGTACATTTACAAATGAAAATTAAAAATATTCTTTAGGAATCAACTTTATAATAGAAAATATATTCTTGTATTAAATAGGACATGATTATGATAACAAGCCTGGTGCATGGCGCGAAAGAGACAACAATGATAAAGGATTTAAAGAAAAAAGTGGCTTCAGAGATGATAGTAAGGATAGAGACTGGAATCGTTATAGCGATAGAGGAAGAAGCAAAGATCGGGATGGGGACCGAAGCAGCAGTTTTGGACCCCGTCGCAATTATGGCGATTCCGATTGGGATCGCCGACAAGACCGAGACGCGAAACGTAAGTATACAATTATCCAGAGAAATGATAAGATAGACCAAAGACGTTGTATTTCTGATTTATTTATATCTCAATTTAATTATTATTATTTAGCTGAGTCGCGACAAAGACCGAAACTGCAACTGCAGCCTCGCACGAAACCCGTGGAATCTCTTGGAAGTTCGAAAGATCAAACTGAAGAAAGTTCGGTGGAATCGAAATCAACAACGGGATCGGAATCAACTCAACGAGCTCCGGCTCCTACACCCATATCGGCAGTCAATATTTTCGGCGCTGCGAAACCTGTAGATACTACTGCTCGTGAACGAGAAATAAAAGAGCGTCTTGCCAAGTCTTATGCCGAATCACGATCCCGAGAAGAAATGTATGTATAATTTTTAACATCTAAAGATAAGATTGGACTCTAAGAACGGTTACGCCGACCGTTTTTTTAATGCAACAATTAAATGTCCACAGCAGCGCCATTACATCCACTTTTTAGATCTGGAATTATTTAGCTACATCCATTTTTCGACATTGCTACTATAAATGCCATTTGGTGCCCTATATGTGCATGCTGGCATATAAAAAGCGCTCGGTCTTTTATTTTTATTAAAAATTCAGATTTTTTTTTCAGGGACAGCAAGGAACGTAAAGATGGTACTTCAGGTCGACGTAATGGCGTATGTATTTCAATTTGAATATAAATAATATATTTGGAATATTAAAAAAATATGTGATTCAACGCGCGCTAAATAATTGCCATTTATAGGAAGGACGCGACGACAAGGAGAGAAGCCGACCGACTTGGCGATCAGAAGAAGACAAAGGTACTCGAGCCGAAAGATCTGCGCCGCGATCTCAACTAGCGCGTTCTGGTAAACATTATTTTCAGATAATTATAAAATCTTTGTTTTCAATTCTTTGAAGAAAAGTACTATCAAATATGACATGTAATGTATTTAACTGAAATATATTTGCAAAGTAGAAGAGCAAAATGAATCCAAAGCATCGCCAACTTCGCGTCCTGAACCGCCAACATTTAAAGTATCTCATAAATCTACTGAGAAAGATACTCGTGCGGCTTTGGAAAGGTATTGACAGAGAGAGAAATATATTTATGAATATATTTACATAGCATGTATTTTGCGTTTATCTCTACTTTATTTACTTTGTTATTTAGAGATCGTAAAGACAAAGAGAAGGACGAAATTAGCAGAATGCCAAAGGCAAAGGATGAACAAGCTCCGGTGAGAAAACTTAATTATTGTTTAAAACTATATTAATGAATGGTGTTATATAATAGTAAGATTTTTTTCTCGCAGAATTTTGTAGCTTCCAACAAATATTCCATGCTACCTGATGATGTGGATCCCGATAATATTGATGAATAGTCCTAATCGATTTTTAATTTGCATCATCGATGAAATTGTGCCACATGCAACATACGATTATGCATTTTATATCAATAATTTGTTTTATCATTATTAAATATTGTATGGATTCACACACATTATACGCCAGGCATTATACTCTTGGTATTACTTTATTGGAATTAATGTTGATTTGTATTTAATCTCAATTTTAATATTTTCTCAATACAAAAAAAAAACATCTATATATATATCTACATATATATTTACTTTATATTTCAGTATGCACGCGAAATATGTTTCGGTATTATTAAATCGCAACATCGTAAATTTATTATGATTTCAAAGTAAACTCATCGATTGCAATCATTGCAATCGATCATTTTACATTTGATTTTAAAAATAATTATATTATACAAAGTATGATATAGAAATTGTGGAACTTTATACATCATACTTAATTCGTTGTACAATAATTGTACGATATTGTGACTCACTTTACGTGTAATATAACAATGCCAATATAAAAGGATATAATTAAATTAATAAGAGTATATGGGAAGATAAATATCGTTTAATTCTTAATTCTCCCTGCACATACATGCATGTAAGCGCGCGCATAAGCACACAAATATTACATTTTAAAGAATTTGTTAATTGAATGTATACAATGTTTAAAAAAAAATTAGCAAAGCAAAATATTTTAACACGAGAATCACTTGTAAATTTAAGTAATAAAAATGTTTGCGATTTTTTATTGTTTTTCGAAACTCATATGCCCGTTTCTACCAGTGATTTTAATTCGATGGTTGATAAACTGCAGAATGACATCAAAATTTGTAATGATACGATTATGGGATAGATTACATATAATAGAAATTTTTTAATTTTAATGTTATGAAGTTAATTGATAATTAATTTTAAATCATATTGGTAAAAACGGACAATATATAAGAAATGATTAAACTTAAAAAGAAAGCATTTTTTAAAATCATGTTTTCATATAATTTCTTTTTTATTTTTACAATGCACTTAAAGTTTAGTCATCTATTTAAAAAATAACCAGTAGAATCAAAGAATATTTACAAAATATACAACATATACCAAAAGGCGTCTTTGGTAAAAAAAATCAAGTAATACATGAAACAATTTTTGTAACGTTCATTATAAAGAATCGAATTTTTGTAATATACTTATTTATAAAAATTATATATTTACACATTTTCTTAGAACACATACATTACATTAAATATATTGCAACTTTTACTGCTGTTGGGTAGTCTGTGCCAATTGCCGCAACTGCTTTAATACAGTTTCAAGCAATTTCTTTTTATCCCTTTCACTTTTCTTCAACACAGAAAACATGGTTTTTTTATCAGATTCTTTCAATCTAGAAAAATATATATTATTAAGACTTTGTATACATTAATAATGTACAAAAGATGTAAATAATACACATACTTTTCTAGTAGAAGCACAGCCATATTTGGAGTTACTAAATTATATTTACTAGAATCCTGACCATAATCATGAAAATAGGTAGGCCAATCCCAGCTCATAAATAAATCTAGTAATTGTCTTAATTGCAAAAAGTATTGCAATAAAGTTCCTTCTGGTAGACCAATGACTGGCTCGGAAGCAGCAAATTCTGGAAGTTACAATAAGATTTGAATTTCCTTAAAAATATATCGAGAGATAAAATATATATATAATAAAACTTACGTTCACATTGTATCGTATCTAAGTTAACTTGTTGCAACGCGCCCATAGATATCTGTTTCACATCTTCACTGATTAATATATCTAATATGGCTTTAGCAATGTGAGAACACGCAGATTTGCATGCCACTTGAGCTACTTCGTCCTAAAATATGAATTATCAATTATAGTATTTCGAAAACACACGATCGTCATATTGTGATATTTACTGGTAAATTAGTGAAGCATGTTAAAGTGCTCCGCAAGAAAGCTATAAGATCCGTAATGAATCCCGAAGCATGTCCTTGAGGCTCCGCTAAATTCCAATCATAATTCTCCAATTCTAAAAATTCATCCAACTTGTTTTTCAATTTATCGCAGATCTGTTTTTCGGCGTCATCTCGCGCGACTCGAAACATGGCAGATTCAACGCCCACACAGCTCAATTGCCCTTGATGTAACGTGCTAAAAAATTTATTATACATATATATAATGATCTACAAAAGAAAGAATAAACAATATACTAGATTTTTACCCAGTAATATTAGTAACAAATTCTTCCAAATATTTTGTAGATTTTTCGAGATATCCTGTGTTTATTATAATTTGAACTACTTGTAAAAGCGCTAAGGAAGGCTTGCGAAACAATGACGATAAACATCCGCTGAAAGTTCTCGTTAGTAAAAGATTCGTCGATTTGCATATCATCTCATCAATTTCAGTTTGGGTAAAATTCAAATCCTCTGAAAATTTTAAGCAAGCATAAATAAATTCTTTCACTTGCTGATAGACCTTTGGTACCATGTCCGAAAATGGAAATTTTTTGGGAAACTCGGCTTCCTGCAAGTTTTTATCATGATAAGGAAATAGATTAAGAATTTGATCGTATTCCGCTTGCGTTGTGACCTGAAGCATAATAATCGAGCAATAAGTCAGAGAAAGTCAATAGATGAAGTATTTACGACATTATAATTACTTGAATCGGCAAGAAATTATCTTCGTCTAAAATATTCCTAAAAACTTGAACCCAGTGTTTCATTAGCACTTCGTTATAATGCACTCTAATTTCTTGTAATAAATCCCAAAGTTGTTCTACGGAATAGCCATAATTCTGTTTAAAACAGATAAAAAATTGTTTAAATTACATACGCATAAACGTATATACAGGGTGTCCCAAAATCACCAAATATCCCTTTAATAACAGATTCTCCAACTAATATGGAAATAACTTTTTCTCGATAGAAATGTCAGGGAAGGTTATTATTTTTTTATAAGATTCCTTTTCCCTCTCGTATATCTTTGCACAACTAAACTTAAAAATTCTATTATATAAAGTAAACTCTACCTGAAATTAATCGAAGAATGTAGCTTCGTTAATCTTTTAAATCCACAAAGATTAATTTGCAAAAAGCTCTCCTTCTTCAAATGCTTATAACTCGGAAATGGACGTCTCGACATTTTCGTCGAGGAAAAACTGTTCCCAAATTAACCAAATCTATTATTAAAAGGAGACATTCGGTGATTTTGGGAACATCCTGTATAAAGAATGAAAGATGAACTTTATTACTTACCCTTAAGGTAGTATTGAATAGCATAATGAGATTCTTGATTTTTAATATGAGTGTAGCATCTGTGCAATATGCCTAAAAAAATACATATTTCTTCATATTATATTAATCATAACGACCATATAACATTGAGAATAACGATATATTTACCGAATGTGTGCGTAAAGCATCGACTATCGTGGATAATGTCATGTCCCAAAGCTCATCCAAATACGCGCGAGTAGCTAGTCCATTACCCGTATTCAATATGTGATCTTCTATGACAAAAAAACCAATAATACCTTGCAAATAAGTCTGATATCCGATCGTACTCTCATGCTAAAAATAAAAAATATTTATTAACATATAAACACATGGCTTGATACTTAATAAATGGATTTACCATGTTAATAGGTGGTTGTAAAACTAGTCTAGCTTGTTGTTTTCTCTGTTGTCTATAATACATTTTAAAAGTTTCTTCCTCTCGAAGCACGGTATAAATGTGCATACATCGATATACCGGACTGAAATCCATCAAGTCTCGAGCACTCAATTCCTCTTCAGCCTCATTTAATCGATCATTGATACGAGACCTTCTTTTCTTCCTTCCAATAATTTCCGCTTCAGTCGCTAATTGTTCAGCAGTCTAATATAAAAAAATTGCCAAAGTTAATAAATTATACATACATAATATCGATATAGATATATCAATACAAAAAGGAAGGTGTAGAAAAAAAAAAAATTATACCCACATGTCTCATGGCAACTTCACCAATTTTTGGCGAATATTTTCTAATATTTTCTAGAAAATCTCGTAAATCAGACATAGAGGCATCTTTTATATTTTCCCGCAATCTGACACAAAGATAATATTATACATATACTCTTTTTCACAACTATACGTATAACAAGAAAATACTCGCAAATAATTCTTCTAATTAAATTTACCGTGGTATTTGTTGCGTGATTTGAAAAGAAAATCTATAATTTGTAACTTTTGGCAAATCACGATGTTCTAACTGTTCCAGTGTTTTTAATGCCGGATAAAAACGTTTGTCCTTTAATTGCTTTTGCAACTTAGCATATGCGGCTAAGACAGGAAGGCACATAGTGAGACTGTTTACAGCAGCAGCCATATTGTTCTCAACCTTGCGAGCTTTTACAAGTTCTTCACCCATTTCAATCACTTTGGTGGATGTAGCAGTAATGTGTTTATCAAGCTCTAATATTTCTGCCTGCATTTTAGATATCAAAAGATAACACATTTTTGACATATAAAACTAGATTTTATATATTACACAACATTACCGTGCTATCGAGTCGTTATAACATTATTATTATTATTACTTAAAAAAAAAAGAAATAACACTAACGTTCAGTTGTTGGGCTTGAGAGCGAACTTGTAAGAGTTCCCTAATAGAATCAATAAATCCCTGATAATGATGATTACACATCCTTTCGATATCCTTGTCATGAGTTTTAATACAATCGTCAAGTTTTTCCATAAACTTTTGATGTTCATGTCCATCATAAATTGCTCTACAACACAAAACAAACGTAATAATATTTTTTGGTTTTTTTTTTCATCATCTTTAATCATACGAATTTCTTAAGCTAAGAACGTCGAATGTCATGATGCTCGAGCACAAATATCATTCTATGAAATAAAATTTACTGGTACTAATAGAGAGAGAGAGAGTATTAATCTTGTTTCCGATATTATTAAAATGATAAAATGATACTGGGTATCATTTTATCATTTTAATAATATCGGAAACAAGATTAATACTCTCTCTATTAGTACCAGTAAATTCTATTTCATAGAATGATATTTGTGCTCGAGCATCATGACACTCGACGATCTTGACACGTTAAATATTCGCTTCAAATATTATATTATATAAATAGGTTTACCGCTAATCCTCTTAAAAACTATTCTCAAGTATATATATATACGCATAAAATTCCAGCTTTTCGTTTAAACGAAGAAATAGTTTTTTTTTCTTCGAAAATATGTACCACTACCCGTGTGGTTACAAACACGATTTATTAATTTTACTTACCGAAAAGTCGGGCCCAAATAATCGTCGATGCCCTCGATTTCCTGAATCAGAATATCGTATCGCTGCATCATCGCCAAATCCGAAAATCGTTAAAAAGGATTAAAGCTTACAAAACATTAGAAACAGAATAAAAGTCAGAAACCGAGCCACAAGCACAGACTTTATATATTACTAGATCGCTAACTCCCTTATATACTGTACCAAAAAATTGATCCCAAAAAGTATGTATTAAGGTGCCTTTACATGGCAGCGTCAAGCATCGAGCGTCGAGCGTTAGGCCGGATTCACACCTTGGCAGAAAAGCAAAAAGCAGAAAAGCAGAAAGCAGAAAAGCAGAGGCCAATCAGAACTTGCGCTAAAAAAGCAGAATGTACTCCTTATTTTCAGCGCGAGTTCTGATTGGCTTCTGCTTTTCTAGCACGAGTTCTGATTGGCTTCCGCTTTTCTGCTTTCTGCTTTTCTGCCAAGGTGTGAATTCGGCCTTAAGCGTCTGTGCAGAATATTGTTGCCTAGAATTCTATTTATTTTATTAATTTTATTATGTAATAGATGTGTGTGTGTGTGTATGTTATTATTATTATTAATCAAAAATATATTAAAAAACGTCAATACTACGTTACAAGGACGGATTCACAAATGACAAAATAACACAGTTTGCAAAACTACTATTAATAGTAGGAAATGATTTAAAGGAGCAGTATGTTGTAAATATGCAGAAAAAAAATTGAAAATTATATTCCTTAATTCTTTTGATTAGATATTCTGATATTCTGGCGGGGGGTAGTGGCATTTTATAATATATTTTGTTTAATAATAATATCTATTGTATATAATATAAATAAAAATCAATTTTCAGTATTAACAATTGTACATCAAAATTATATCATTGTACATCAGAACATAATCTTTCTTATCTCGACCGAATTCATGTGACTCTTCATGCTATTAGCCGCCAGAAACTGGAATCAATCATGTTGAGAATTCTGCGGGATGGTTTCTGCGCAGACGCTTGACGCTCAATGCTATCATGTAATGGCAGCCTTAAGGTGCCATCACATGGCTTATAACATACTGCTCCTTTAAGGTTCCTACTCGGCGGAGGGAGGGGAGCATCCTCCGATGGGACCTTCCTAGCCCTACGCTCCCTCTCCCTTTCACGTTACTATCCCCCAGCAGAATATTAGAATCTAATCAAGGATTAAAGGATATAATTTTCATATTTTTTTTTCCTGCATGTTTATAACATACTGCTCCTTTAAGGTCCCTACTCGGCGGAGGGAGGGGAGCATCCTCCGATGGGGCCTTCCTAGCCCTACGCTCCCTCTCCCTTTTCCTCTTGAGGGCGACCTCCTCCTCACGCCTTTCGCGGAGGCCCACGAACTCGCCCGTAGTGGGCGGTCGCCCTCTTCCCCTCTTTTTGGGGAGGTCATCAGCCTCCATCGCGTCATCCCCATCGGGAGACGCGTACACCTCGGTGTCCTCGCTAACTTGCGAGGACCTCGAGAAGGAGGCGGGGGTGGAGCGGATGCTGCCCCCCTGCAACGGATCCTCCGTCTTCTCTTCTTCTGGGCGGGTGAGGCTCTTGCCCCGACCCGCCTCATCCTGGTTGTATGGGTGCGCCTGCGCGGCCGAGACCAAACGCGACCGGGACTTCGATTTAGTCGAAACCGGGCCCGGTCGGTCGATCCGCCGCACGACCACCCTTGCCTCTCTATCACCGGCGATAGCTCGCTCGCCAGGGGTGCTCGTTGGCAACACCCCTGGTGGCCCGTCGTGGGATGACGACGAGGGGGGAACCGGGACTGTATCCCTCCCACGCCGGTCGCTGCGGGATCCAAAGTCCGCTGCGGCAGTAAACTTTTTATCCTTGGTTGTACTGTCCATTGCGTATCAAGAAAGGATGGTTTAATTTCGGTGTTTTTCTTCACCTAGGTCGGTTGGCTTCACCACGCCTGACGAGCCCGACCTGCCCGGGATTTTTTTCCTGAGGTTACCTACCTCACAACTCCACTCGATCCCACATCCAATCCCAGACCCACCCCAACTACTCTTACCCATAAAAACCCCAACCCACCCCACCCATCCCCAATACACACACCCATACCCACACACACCCCCCTCAAACCCACACAATCTCCCAAAAAAAGAACCCCATAACCCCCCAATAACCCCCCGCAATATCGCAAACCACTCCAGACCATTCACCCAAAATAAATAAAAACAATACCCATTCACACGATGATCGAGTTTGGTGCACTCTTAAACTCCTTCCAAGAATGGAAGGGGAGCCCCTCCACCACGACAAGGTGGTGCACCATCGGAGGGGGCTACAGGGTGTACCTGGTGCATATAATGTAGCGCAGTATGAGCGCGCACCCAGGAGGCGTTCTCAGAAGGAGAAGGGACACCGAGAGCGGGAGAACTAGAAGAGTAGGGAGAGATATAAAAGGCCGTGTGGAACATGAGAGAGGGCTTTTTTCTTTTCTTTTTTTTTAATTATTAAAGGAGATAGTCGCAAATATAACATCTTTTGCGCGTTTAAGAGATTCGCGACGGAAGTAATAAGAAAGGTTACGGTTAGCATTGGGTTACGGTTAGCATTGGGTTACGGTTAGGGTTACGGTGTTCCAGCTTTTTTGCAATTTTTTATTACGGAAATCGAAAATTGGTAACGCGAAACGGATTCTGGCGTTTGTTTCGCGTCGATATCTATCTCCGTTCCTCAGTTATAGGGGTGCAAAGCGCCCCTTGCCATTTTGGGTCCGTAACTCGGAAACCGTTGACGGGGGAGGGTTGTCTTCCGAGGGACATCGATCGGTCTCGCGAAGGGCTACAACTTTGGTCCCGAACTCCACCCCACTAGGACTCACCCTTTGGACCCTGTATACTTGGAGTCGGGTGTAGAAATTTACAAGTCTCAAGGGATGATACGGAACGCAAAATATCGACTAAAATTTGACAAAATTGGAATATACCAATCGATAGAGAATCGCGTGGAAGGTGTTTTGGACTCATATATTTTTTTTCATTTAAAAAAAAAAATTTTTTTTTCTCTTTAGGTCAGGAAGGTGTACGGAGTGTAAAAAATCGATCAAAATTGGACTATACCAATCGATAGAGAATCGCGTGGGATGTGTTTTGGACCTATATATTTTTTTTCATTTTCTCAAAAATTTTTTTTTCCCCAAGTCACGAGGGTGTACGGAGTGTAAAAAATCGATCAAAATATGACTATACCAATCGATAGAGAATCGCGTGGGATGTGTTTTGGATCTATATATTTTTTTCATTTTCTCAAAAAATTTTTTTTTACCCCAAGTCACGAGGGTGTACGGAGTGTAAAAAATCGATCAAAAT